TCCTTCCTTCCTTCCTTCCTTCCTTCCTTCCTTCCCTCCTTCCTTCCCTCCTTCCTTCCTCCTCTCCTCTCCTCTCCATAAATTCCATTTCCTTCTAGCACTGACAATGTTACCTAGTTGGGTCATGAAACGTCTGCAAGAACACAACCAAGCTCAGAGAGCACCAAGGACCCCACATATTAGTAAGCTTCATAGTTGAATCTAAGCAGTGTTGTAGGCATGTTGCAGCTACGTGCAGAGCTGTAGGAGTTGGGACAAGGATCCATGCTGCTGTTTGAGTTGGCCTTTTCTATCCAGGCTGGTCAAAATTCTGATCATCTTAATATTTTTTTTTTATAGCAGCCATGGCAGCCATGTACTACAGTTACTACATGTTGCCTGATGGGTCATACTGCCTCGCCCCACCGCCACCTGGGATTGACATGGCTACTTACTATAGCGCCCTGCCAGCTGGGGTGACGGTGTCAAGCACTACCGGCGTAGCCACGATCACAGCGCCTCCGCCTCCCGGCACGACACCCCCACCCTCTTCAGAAGCAAGTGAAGACACAAGCGGTGCATTGCCTGGCACAAGCACTTCAGCAAGGTATCCTATTTTATGTTGGCCTGTGTAGTAGAGCAGGAGTTTGGTTGAGTGGATTGTGTAACTAACAACCTGCCTGTGTAACAGAACATCTTTTCCTAATGGTAGGGGGAACCCACTGCTGAAAGTAAACCCAAGCTGATGACAATAACTCGTTGGTTAGACTCAACAATTCATTGGTGCTCAGATAATATTGACTGGATAGCAGTAGGTATCAAGTCAGAGGGTTTTTCTACAAGCATCAGAAATCAGTTTGCCTTCCTTCCTTCCTTCCTTCCTTCCTTCCTTCCTTCCTTCCTTCCTTCCTTCCTTCCTTCCTTCCTTCCTTCCTTCCTTCCTTCCTTCCTTCCTTCCTTCCTTCCTTCCTTCCTTCCTTCCTTCCCAGCTTTTGCATTTATATAAACCTGGGTCCTGTGTGTTGTCGTAGTGTCAGCAGCCTCGCAGCAATTCCAAGTGGCTGGGCTGGTTTTTCAGACCAGGCTTTGGCAAGAAGGCTCCCCAGTTACCAGGCAGTGGACAGTTGAATATGTTCAAGTGATTAAATGTGAATAATTAAAAAGGCAGCTCAAATAAAAGGGTGTCTCATTATATCCTAAAATTGTCAGAGCTTTAGACAGAGCGCAAAAGAGCTGGTATGTTTGTCTTGTCTAGTTTTGTTTCATGCGTGATATTCTTAAAAGGCTTTTTGACATTTTTTTGGGGGGGATGGCCTTCTTGGTCAGCAATTAATCTTTTCACTAAAATAATCTGCTCTCCTCCCCTGCCAGCCCTGTGCAGGCTGATAATGTGCAAGAAGCCTAGTTAATTTCTGTTTAATGAACCACCCACTTCCAGATGGGTCTTTCCCAAGTTTACGTTCTGGAGAGGATATTCTGTTGGCCATATCAAAGCCTGATGATGCTCATTTTATTCTAGTGTCCCACATGAGGACATAGTGTCCCATCTTTTTTTTTTCTTTTCATTTTTGAGAGCCCAATTTGGTCTAGGGGTTAAGATGCTGGCCTACAAACCAGGAGACAGTGAGTTCCAGTTCTGCCTTAGACGTGAAAGCCAGCTGGGTAACTTGGGCCAGTGACCAGGAGATGGTGACCCGTCTTAGGCATGGAAAACCAAGTGGGTGACTTTGGACCAATCACCAGGAGATTGGGAGTTCTAGTCCTGCCTTAGTCATGAAAGCCAGCTAGTTGACTTTGGACCAATCACCAGGAGATTGGGAGTTCTAGTCCTGCCTTAGCCATGAAAGCCAGCTGGGTGACTTTGGACCAATCACCAGGAGATTGGGAGTTCTAGTCCTGCCTTAGCCATGAAAGCCAGCTGGGTGACTTTGGACCAATCACCAGGAGATTGGGAGTTCTAGTCCTGCCTTAGTCATGAAAGCCAGCTGGGTGACTTTGGACCAATCACCAGGAGATTGGGAGTTCTAGTCCTGCCTTAGCCATGAAAGCCAGCTGGGTGACTTTGGACCAATCACCAGGAGATTGGGAGTTCTAGTCCTGCCTTAGCCATGAAAGTCGGCTGGGCGACTCCAGGCCAGTCCCCCTCTCTCAGTCCAACCCACCTCGCATGGTTGTCGTTGTAAGGAAAATAGCAGGAAGGATTAAGTCTCATGTATGTTTGCTGCCTCGAGTAACTTATAAAGTAATAAAGGTGGGATAAAAATCAAATAAGGTGGTTTCTATGGTTGATTGTATTGCTAGCCTTTCTTTTTAATTGCACAACATAAATATTTGAAATGAATATCGCTTTGGAGTTTCTTGTAATGAAAATAATAGCGTGTGGGTGTGTGTCTCTCCCATAAAAGAACCTGTTCCAAAAGAACAGCATGCAATTAAAGCAGGATCTTAGCTCTCTAGAATATGTAGAGAATTTCAATAAGTACCTATTGTCTGACAGAAGCTCTGCATACCAAATTATTCCAAAGCTATTTCTTGTCTCTCCTTGGTGATCATCCTGCTTCAAACAATGGCAGGCTCTCCAGAATTACCAGGATGAATCATTCAGATTCATCCTCATCTTAGTCGAATGTCTTAAAAGTTTTAAAACCCTGCCTGGACCTTTGATCTGCATTTCCCTTTTTTTCCTTCCCCCTGATGCTGTTGAAGCACCTGGCTTTTCCCTGTTTAGCCCTTGGTCATGTGATGTCTTAAAAAATTGAGCTGCTTCTCCCCTCCTTCCCCTCCCCCTTCAATAGGTTGTGTTCTCTGCCTGTGTAAATCTTACAACTCTTTGACATTTCCCAGCTCAATTCCACCAGTGGTTGCCGTCATCCCTCCACCTCCAGATATCCAGCCTGTAATTGACAAGCTGGCAGAGTACGTTGCAAGAAATGGGATTAAATTTGAGACCAGCGTTCGTGCCAAGAATGATCCGAGGTGAGTATGGCAGACTTCGCTCTTAATTTCATTTTACAATAACCCTGCAAGCAAGTAGCTTTGTTCCACTCGCTTATTGACAGTCTTGTCAGAAAAAGAAGGAAAAAAACAAACCATAGTAATCTATTGTAGTTCCTCACCTTAAAATTCAAGAAACTTCTGGAAGTTAACGATAAAGCGTTTTATTGCCCAAGAATCTTGAAGCTTGGCTTCCAGACATATATGGCCCTTGGGGTGTAATTTATTATTCTCAGAATATCAAATCGCATCTTGAGGTGAGGAAATAATAAATTAAAGCCACAACTTACAGTTGAGGGACACGCGTATTTTCCCTACGCTGACTTCTGTGTCACCTTTTTAAATTATCCGTCTCCCTCACAGAGAGGGACTACAGGTAGTCCTCCATTTACTAATATGAGCCCAACATTTCTGATGTTAAGTGAGACATTTGTTAAGTGGATTTTGCCTCATTTTGCGACGTTTCTCGCCCACAGCTGTTAAGAGAACCACTGCAGTTGTTAAGTTAGTAATACGGCTGTTAAGTGAATAGGACTTCCCCAATTGCTTGTCAGCAGGTCACAGATGTGTGAAAAAAGTCACTTTTTTCAGTGTCGTAATTTTAAGCGGTCACTAAATGAACTGTTGTAAGTCGAGGACTGCCTATATCATAAGTAGTTCTCAACTTTCAACTTACAGTGATTCAAAGTTACAACGGCCTTGGTGGAAAAAGTGACTTATGACCTCTATCTGCACTTACAACAGTCACATTCGCCACCGCATCCTGGGATTGTAATTTGCAAGTTAAAAACACCCATTGGCATAGTTGGATTCACTTAACTGGTAGTGGTTCACTTAACCACCTCCCTAAAAATTGTCCAGCACAACGTATGATCATAAGGACCAACAGTCCAGTCCAATCTGTGGTCATAAATTGATGTTAAGTTAATGATTTAACAGCTAACCAGCTTACTGATTTAATGATTTAACAGCTAACCAGCTTAATGTAAGATGTAATGATGGGAATGACTCAGCAGGGTCTGAGTCTCTTTAAGAGCCTTTGTATAAAATAGACGGTTCCTCTGATGTGTTCTTTCTCTTCCGTTTCCTGCTGTAACTGTGGTGTGTTAGATCCTGCTGTATTAGCACGTGTATGTATATTATCCCTGGTATGTGACATTGTAGATAGTGTAAGATAAACCACCTTTTAATATAGACCACTGTTTACTGTGTTTACTCCTGGGTTATCTCGCACGCTCTGACAGTTGACAGCTATGTACATTTTTGTCTCTCTCTCAACAGATTTGAATTTCTGCAGCCTTGGCATCAATACAATGCCTACTACGAATTTAAGAAACAGTACTTCCTTCAGAAAGAGGCTAGCGACAGCTCAAAGGTAGGTTTACGAAAGTATAATATAACAGTGATACTTGTTGGCTTGTTTTATCCCCGGAGTGTCAACTGGGGCAGTTCAGAGAGGAACCAGTTCCCCATCAGTAGATTTGTTGTTAAAAATGTGTTGTCTGCCCTCTTTGTTACTGTGGGAGGGGATGATGAGTGGAATTTATGGAGAGGAGGAGAAGGAGGAGGACTGTGGGGTCCTTGGTGCTCTCTGAGCTTGGTGGTTTTCTTGCAGACCTTTCATGACCCAACTAGGTAACATCATCAGTGCTAGAAGAGAACGGAGTTTGCTCTCTGTTGATACACAAAAGTGGCTTGCCCTGTCATTGTTGATGGAAGTGTTTTCTTCTTGGTAGTTCCTTGAGTGAGCTGGGTTTACAACTTAGCTGTTGATTTGCCGTTCATCTTAGTGATAACTAAGGTAACCAAGATAGGTAATGAAACATCTGCAAGAAAACAACCAAACTCAAAGAACGCCAAGGACCTCACAAATATTCTCTCTGTCTGTGTGTATGCCCGTTACCTTAAAAATGGCTGGAAGCCAATTCTTCATGTGTGTATGTACTGTTTACAGGCTTTTAAAAATATGAGCCTATGTTATATCTCTGGATGAAAATGATCGATGTAATCAGATGGGATCTGCCAATTTTAGAAATGAGCATCTTATAGGCAGTTGTTATTGAACTTGGTTAATTTTAATGTATGGTTTTGCCTTGAACTGAGGTTAGTAATTGGTACCACTAAGTTGGCACAGTTGTCTTCTGCACTCATGGGTAGTCTGGACATCTCTGTCTCATCTTTCTTGGGTGTATGGGCGGGGAGGTTAAATTCAGACTCACCTTCCTTTTGGGCCAGTGCAGTAGATTTTCCTGGTTTAGGTAATATTACCAAACACCAGTGAAATGCAGAATGTCATTCGCAGTCTGTATTTGTGTTTTTCCCTTTATTTCAGAAGCTTTGTGACACAAGCCCTCCCCCCAATATGGCTTGGTCACTTGCAGGGCCCCATTGCTTTGTGCTCTACCTTTTATGTTTTTCTCTGAATTGTTTACTGTGCGCATTTTTGTATTTGATGAAACAGATTGTAAACACATCGTGTGGTTGCCAGGAAACTCTTCTGTTTCGCTCCTTTTTGCCATAATGGGGACAAGGGTGCTTTTGAAATTAATAGCCGGGACACTAATGAAGCAGAGTGCTCTTCCAATTTTAAACAGATTTTTGCCATTCGGTTTAATGGGCCGTCAAACAATGCTGTCTGTTTTCCGGGGGTGGGGGAGAGGAACATGGCATGTGAACTGTTTATTTTTTTCAAAAGGAATAGAATAGAATAGAATAATAGACTAGACTAGACTAGACTAGAATAGAATAGAATAGAATAGAATAGAATAGAATAGAATAGAATATGGAGTAGAGTAGAGTAGAGTAGAGTAGAATATGGAATGGAGTAGAGTAGAATAAGAATAGAATAGAATAGAATAGAATAGAATAGAATAGAATAGAATAGAATAGAATAGAATAGAATAGAATAGAATATGGGATGGATGGGGTGTAATAGAATAGAATAGAATAGGGATAGAAGAATAGAATAAGAATAGAATAGAATATGGAGTGGAGTGGAGTAGAGTAGAATATGGAATGGAGTAGAGTAGAATAGAATAAGAGAATAGAGTAGAGTAGAATAGAATAGAATATGGAGTAGAGTAGAGTAGAATATGGAATGGAGTAGAGTAGAATAAGAATAGAATAGAATAGAATAGAATAGAATAGAATATGAGATGGATGGGATGTAATAGAATAGAATAGAGGTAGAAGAATAGAATAAGAATAGAATAGAATAGAGGATGGGATGAATAGAATAGAATATTCTATTCTATTCTATTCATTTATGACAGTTGCAGCATCTTAAGGTTCACATGCTCACAATTTGCCACCTTCCCAGCCACTTTCGACCAACAAAAGCCAAAATTGGGGAGGCCAGATTTGCTTAATGACCCAGTGATCTGCTGAACGACCATTGGTTCACTTTACGACCGTGGTAAAAATGAGCCTAAAAATCAAGTCCGGTCATGTGATGGCTCACGATTGCTGCGACGTACGGCGGCAATTTTCAGTCCCAGTTGCTGTCTTTAAGTCGAGCCTGCAGTTTAGCAATCATGGTGATCTAATCTGGTTTAGTTTAAAGAGTAAAGACGTCCAAATGATAACTTATTCAGCCAACGACACTTAAGCCACGCTTGAAGGCAATGCATGAAATTAGCTAAAAACTGATACAGTAAGCAAATATATGCAGTAATGTTAAGTCCACTCAAGGTAGCTTCCAATTCGATCATTAATTTTTTTTTTCTTGCAATTACATTTCTTCCTCATTAAGCAAAATGTAGCCAGATCTTTGGTGAATAAATTCACCCCCTTCCTCTTTTGAAGACGGTGCTCTTAGGACTGAAATGTACTAGCTAATGTATTTATTTCTTCTTTTTTGAGCATAGGGAGATAGAAATTCCTGCCACGAGCACTCTTAAACTTTATTGGTGCTATTAGAGGCAGCAGATAAGCAGAGTTAGACCTGAAGATTGTTCCTTGAAGGCTTCGTTCTCCCCCTCCCCGCTCCAAAACCCTCAGTATATCTTGAGTCATTTTTTTCATTTAAAATGGCTTTGTACAGTCATAATGTGAGCTCTTAGCACAGGGCTTGTTAATGAATCTCTGGATCGCTGTAACGATCGTGAAATAGTAGCGCCACGTACATTTGAATGAGAACCGAAATGTAAAATGATTGGCCTTGGTGTTCATACTCTGGCCCAGGGTTTCCAACCGAGGCCGTTTCCAGCTTAGAGTAGAATTCAGTTCTCATCCAGATCCGTTGCTGAGAATTAGTAGAACTGGTTCACCCTGTTGGAAGTGAATGCCGGTGGAGAAACTGCTCCATCCTTTTCTTCTGCTGGTGTGATGGATTGTACACCTGTAGGAGCAGAGGGGGGAAGGGAGTTTGGCAACACCGCGCTGTCCCGAAAGAGGCCCGAGTTAAGATGCCAGCTGTCTCGACTAGCGAACTCAAGATCAAGAAATCTTCAGGCGTTGAAATGCCGTAGAAGATAAACTTTGTTGAGTACACATCTCAGAACTGAAGAAGCAAAAAAGAAGAAGCGTGGTTTTCCCACGTGAAAATCTGGTTAAGTTAAAAATAGCCTTCCATAACCCCCAGCCACCGAGTGTCCACGTTGCCCAATCATCCTTCTTTGGTTTGTTATGAGAAGGGGTCCACTTCTCCGTCAGACACCTGCTTTTGTGACCTTGAATCTCATGGTCCATGGGTGGCTTTTTAGAATCCCGTCGCCTTCCCTCTTTCTACCCACCCACTCCTGTTTCTATGGCAAGTTGAGTAGCGATAGAAGTTAGCAGGCATCTTAACCAAGTCAGTCTTGATATAAGATACTGCATGCTCCCGAAGGGAGATTGGGGAAGAGAGTCAGGGTAGCGACATTCTAGATTAATTATCCCAAGGAGCCACATGAGAAACGGGGACTGTTTTGGAGGGCTGAACCAACAGGGTTATGAAGGTGCGAAGGCATGCATGCATGCACATACGTAAATTGTGTGTGTGGGGGGGGGGGAAATAGCAGTCGCCTTCGAAATAAAAACAGACCACATGAGCTGGCCAGGGACAGCCACATGGCCGAGGGGGCATAAAATTTTTTGCTTCTGCAGCCAGTCTCTGATAGTAATAATAATAATAATAATAACTTTATTGTCACTTTGAAAGTACACCAATCGGCATACATCAAAATGAAATTTCGTTGCATACAGCTCTCAAAGGGTCACCACCTCCGATAGACACTCCTTGTCCGTGGCCAGCTCAAGTTACAGATCTTCCATTTTAGTCTCTAGGGCAGTGATGGCGAACCTTTTAGAGACCGAGTGCCCAAACTGCAACCCAAAACCCACTTATGCATCGTCGGGTGCCGGGTGGGCGTGGCCCATTGGGTGGGTGTGGCTGCGGTGGTAACGGCAGACTGGGTGAGACGAAAAAGTTCAATCAATCAATTCCAACTTTGCAAGATCTTTTCTTTTCCGTGAGAAGTTGAAATTGACTGATTGATTGAACCTCTTTTTTTGTACACAGCGGCAGAAGCCTAAAGCGAAAAGGTTTTATAAAACCCAGCTGAAGGCCTGGGACTGAGGCGATGGCGCGCGTGCCCATAGAGAGGGCTCTGCGTGCCGCCTCTGGCACCCGTGCCATTGGTTCGCCACCACTGCTCTAGGGAGCGAACGATGGCAAACAGGACAGATGGAAAGGGAGCTCCATGTGGATTATCCCTCAAATTAGCTTGTATTCCTGCACGACAACCTCGCCTCCTTTTCTTTTTCTGATCTTGTCTCTTCCACCTTTTCCTTAAAGAGGCCTCACTCCTTTTCACCCCTGGAGAATGCTGCCGCCGCCACCAACTCTTCCAAAAGCCTCCCTCCCATCCTCTGGGCCTGCCTACAGCCTCATCATGATAGAGCTTTGCAAACCTCATCTCTAAGACAGCCACAAAGGTTTGGATGTCTTAGTGTTGATGGCTGAAATAGTTGATTTTAGGCAGTTTTTGGTGTTCTCATTGTCTCCTGAAACCGTTAAAAAACGGTCTGGAAGTCGAGGAAGCCTAGTGTGGGTGGGCATTGCTTCTGATAAAATACTTGCTTAAGTTGGTTTGATTGAACATTTTATGTGCCTTCCACAGTTCTCCCTCCCCGTTGATTAAAGACAGAAATGATATTCCTTTATCTTTTCACGCCGAGATGTAATAATATCTTCTCATACGGCTGCCAATTTACTGGTATCAGCAATTGGGATTGTAACCCTGAGAACAGTCTTGTCATTATGATGTACAGACAGCTTTGATATATATATATATTTGTTCAGGTAATGAATGCCATGGGGGCTTTTAATTAAAATCCATGTACAATAACCTTTTAAGATCCTTTCTTTTTATTTCACTCGCACGAGAAGAAATCCACTTTTCTCTGAGTACAGAATCCCTCTGGTGAAATTGTAAGGGCCCCAGACTCTCTCGCCCAGAGACCCATGTACAGGTAGTCCTCAACCTACGACCACAATTGAATCTCAAATTTCTGTTGTTAGGTGAGATGTTTGTTAAGTGAGTTTGGGCCCGTTTTACGACCTTTCACTGCAGCTGTTAAAATTAGTAACCCGGCTGTTAAGTCAGTCTGGCTTCCCCATTGACTTTGCTTGTCAGGGCTGGCTGGGAAGTTCATAAATGGCATTCTTCTCACACTGGAAGAGGATAGGAGAGGATAGGAGAAGAGGAGAGAAGAGAAGAGAATACTTCCAAGGTCCCTTCCAACTTTATTACTAAGAATAGAAGAGAATAAGAATAAGAATAGGGAATAGAATAGAATAGAATAGAATAGAATAGAATAGAATAGAATAGAATAGAATAGAATAGAATAGAGAACTAAACATTCACCTGTCCGAGACAGTATAGGTTCTCCTGCTTGAGCAGGGGGCTGGACTAGAAGACCTCCAAGATCCCTTCCAGCTCTATTCTATTCTATTCTATTCTATTCTATTCTATTCTATTCTATTCCTTATTTCTGTTATATTCTATTCTATTCCTTATTTCTGTTCTGTTCTATTCTATTCTATTCCTTATTTCTGTTCTGTTCTATTCTATTCCCTATTCTATTCTATTCCTTATTCTTATTCTATTCTATTCTATTCTATTATTTCTTCTTAAAAACCTCCAGTTTTCTGGTGGCAGGCTGTTCCACTGTTTAATTGTCCAGTCTGTCAGGAAGTTTCTCCGTAATTCCAGGTTGCTTCTCTCCTTGATCAGTTTCCAACCATCATAAATTTGGGTTGAGGATCGCCCACATTTTGATGACATGGCCGTGAGGATGCCGCCATGATCCTCAGTGCGAGGACCGATCATAGGTCACTTCTGGGGGTGCTTTCATAACTTTCGGTCGTTAAATAAATGGCCCTAACTAACTCGAGGACTGCCTGTCTGCGCTTGCTGTCGATTGCTCAGTTCAGCTCTTGTGAAATTATTCAAGACTCGCTAAGCTGTCAGTATGGTTACCTGTTTGGAAGACCTCCTGGCTCAAAAGCTGGGTGACCCATGCTGTTTTTAAGCCTGTTTCATTCATCAGTTTGAAACATCCTGAAGAACCCAGCGTGGGTTTATGCGCTGCCCAGTTGAAAGCACGTTGTCGCGCGGTGGGTTTCTTTGCACTTATTCTGCTGCGGCTTCCAGTTTTGAAGCGTGCTACATAGTGGATTTTTTTTTCCTCCCCCCTCTTTAAAAGCATGTCGCCTCTTTATCTGAGGACGTCCCTACCGATGCTGCGTCCGATGCGGTGCCTGGAGAGACGCAGTTTCCCGCTGAGCAGATTCCCGAAGATGCCGATGCAGCTGCTCAGGGAAGCAATGCGAAGGACCTGGCCGCCATCAAAATTGCCAACGATGGCAAGCTGATAAAAGGTAAGTCTCGGTCCAGATCAAGCCCTGTCCTTTTGAGAGGAGCAAGTCACATTTTTGGCACCCAGAAATGTTCCGTCTGGCTCCCGGCCCCCTTCTGAAAGGTGCTACTGAATTAGGATTTTTAAGATGAGAGACAGGCTATGAAATGAAAGGGAAGTAATCCCACACATCGCTAGTTTAAATGGATTTGGATGAATTGGAGAGGGCTAAAATAAGCCCTGGAAAGAATACAGAATAACAGAGTTGGAAGAGGGACCTGGGAGGTCTTCTAGTCCAACCCCCTGGTCAAGCAGGAGATCCTATACGATTCTGGACAAATGGTTGTCCAATTTCTTAAAAACCTCAGGAAGTTTTATCTATCTACCTACCTACCTACCTATCTATCTATTTTTATCTATCTATGCATATCTATCTATCCTATCTATCTATGCCTATCTATCCTATTTATCTCTATCTATCTATCTATCTATCTATCTATCTATCTATCTATCTATCTATCCATGTCTGTGTATCTGTCTGTTTATCTATCTATATCTATCTATCTGTGCCTACCTATCTACCTTATCTATCTATCTGTGTCTGTCTGTCTATGCCTGTCTGTCTGTCTCTGTCTGTCTGTCTGTCTGTCTGTCTGTCTGTCTATCTATCTATCTATCTATCTATCTATCTATCTATCTATCTATCTATCTATCTATCTATCTATCTATAACTATCTATCTGTCTATCTATGTCTATCTATCTGTATCTATTGTCTGTATCTATCTATGTCTGTCTATCTGTCTATGTCTGTCTGTCTATATCTCTCTGTGTCTATCTCTCTCTCTCTCTCTATCGATGTCTATCTGTCTATGTCTGTCTGTCTGTTTATATCTCTGTCTGTCTACCTACCTACCTATCCATCCATCCACCTATCTACCAATCTACCTATCTTGTCTATGTACCTACCTACCTATCTTATCTATCTCATAGAATAGGGCTGAATCAAACCTCTTAGAATCAAACTTCCAATGTTGGAGCACCCTCAACCTCTGGAGGCATGCCGTTCTACTGAGTAATCGTTCTCGCTGTCAAGAAACTTCTCCTTAGTTCTAGTTAGATCTCTCTTTGATTAGTTTCCATCCATTACTTCTTGTCCTGCCCGCAGGTACTTTGGAGAATAGATTGATGATGTTGAAATGAATGTCGGGAGGGGATCCCAGTTGTATTTTTCACAGACTGGCAGCCTGATCAGGTCCAAATGGTGTCCGTACCACCCAAACAGCAGGTGCTTATTATCCAGGGTAAAAAAAAAAACCAAGTTAACTTCCTGCAATTTGAAGAACACCTCTCATGAGTAATTGCAAATTGTACAAAGGGCCTTTGCTACTTAGTGGATATAAGCCTCGGGGCAGATATACCCGCATGGCTTTACTCCATCCCCTTTAATAGAAAGTCAATTTACTAAAGATTTTTTTTTTCCCCCTTTAAAAGCAACTCTGCGGCGGTGTGTTGAGTCTGTCGGGGGGAAGTTTTAAAAAAAAAGCTGTAATATTGGTCCTTGTTTCCAGAAAAAGAACTTGCTCGGAAACACACTTTCATTTTTTATATATATATATATTAATCCTCTCCCACTCTCATTCCTTTAAGAGAGATCTAAAAGAAATTAGACAGCAGGATGTACGGTCACAATATTTTCTGGCGTATTTTTATCCCGAGGTGACAGCTAATTAGAGGGAACCACAACACAACAAGCAGTCATTAGAAGGCTGTGCCAAGCCTCAGCACCACAGCAAAGGAGGGGCGGTTTAAGCCACCGGTGGCGGCCCAATTCTGATGTGGAACCAAGGGATCCCGTACAAAAACGGTCCTCTTTTCAGATACCTGGCTGCCAATTTCGCGTCTTTTAATCCCCAACATGAAGCATTTTCCATTTCCATTGAGCAGTTCTGCTTTTCTCCTCCATTATGTCCCCCCCCCCCAAGGCTACTGGGAAGCACAAGTCCCTTTAAGCTTGCTTGGGGGTCTCCCTTGTGCACGTCAAGGAAGCTGTTTTGATTACCCAGGGGTCTTGGGTGGGTAACTGAGCTTACCCTTAATCCACAGAAAATAACAAGTGGTCTGGAGAAAAAAAAATCCCCAAACTCCTGGGGAAAAAACATATTGCTTTCATCCAAATAACGATGCGGCCAGGCGTGACACACTCAGAAGGGAATTCCATAGTATAATTCTGTTTTTGCAGGGGGAGCAACCTTCTTTTGTTCAAGGACCGCGTTTTTTGGGGGTGGGGGCACCTGGTTGCATATGGTTAAGAGGCCGAGGCAAAAATGGATGGGGGTAACCACTTGCTTTTTGGGTTTATTTTTCCTCCTCTGTGTCAGAGGTCCCCAACCTTTTGGGCACCAGGGACCGGTAACCTGGAGAGAGGTTTTTCTGTGGACCGGGGGTGTGTGTGTGGTTTTGTATGCTGCCTGCATCCCACGGATGGGGCTTTGCTTGTTTGTGCAGCTTGGTTGCTGGCAGGCCGCAGGCCGGTCCTGGTCCACGGACCGGGGCTTGGGGACCCCTGCTCTATGTCCTACCCTGGTCTGAACAGGCTTCTTTAAAAGGAGAATTAAAATTCAGCCAAGGGCAGCATGAATGAAGTTGAGGGCTACATCCTCCTCTATTCTGTTAGACTGTTCCTCCTACTTCTCCCACCCACCCACCCAAAACAGCTCTGCAACGGGCAGTAAAAAGATTATTTATTTATTTGTATCCTGCCTTTATTATTTTTACAAATAACTCAGAGATGGCCAAGATCTCCGACATTCCTCCTCCACAACAGCAGCCCTGTGGGTGGCTCAGAGTCACCGAGTCAGTTTTTATGGCTAAGGCGGGACTAGAACTCACCATCTCCTTGACGATTGACCCCAAATTACCCAGCCAGCTGCCATGGCTAAGATGAGACTAGAATTCACAGTCCCCTGGTGATTGACCTAAAGTCACCCAGCTGGCTTTCATGCCTAAGGTGGGACTAGAACTCACCATCTCCTGGTGATTGACCCAAAATTACTCAACTAGCTGGCATCCCTAAGGTGGGACTAGAATTCACAATCCCCTGGTGATTGACCTAAAATTACCCAGCTAGCCTTTATGCCTAAGGTGGGACTAGAACTCACTGTCTCCTGGGGATTGGCTCAAAGTCACTCAGCTGGCTTTCATGCCTGAAGGTGAAACTAGAATTCACCATCTCCTGGTGATTGACCCAAAATTACCCAGCCAGCTGCCATGGCTAAGACGGGACTAGAATTCACAGTCCCCTGGTCATTGACCTAAAGTCACCCAGCTAGCTTTCATGCCTAAGGTGGGACTAGAATTCACAGTCACCCGGTGATTGACTTAAAATCACCCAGCTAGCTTTCATGCCTAAGGTGGGACTAGAATTCACAGTCACCCAGTGATTGACTTAAAATCACCCAGCTAGCTTTCATGCCTAAAGTGGGACTAGAACTCACTGTCTCCTGGTTTCCAGCCTGGTGCCTTGACCACTAGACCCAACGGGTTTCAAGTTGCAATTACTGGTTTACAAATAGTCCTTTCTTTCCCCACAGTTTCCTTTGCCCCCATCAGCTTTGCGATCCGGGCCAAAGAAAACGACATGCTTCCCTTGGAGAAGAACCGGGTGAAACTTGACGACGATAGTGATGAGGAGGAGGAGGAAGGCAAAGAGGGCCAGGAGAACGCCGGCGGCACCTCCAACAGTGCCAGCCTCCTCGCCCTCTCCAGCAGCGCTCCGGAAGAGAAGAAGCCTCAGCTGACCCAAGAAGAACTGGAAGCCAAGCAAGGTAAGAAGTCTATGGTCTGGATCAACTGGGGTTTACACTTACATCTTGTTTGAAAGCTACTTCTGCGTAGGGCGGGGCTGAAACCTTGTTCAGCAGGGGGCGATGGAAAGAGAGCAGAAGGCAGACGAAATACGAGTCTCTGTAGTTATAATAATCAGAATAGAGCTGGAAGGGACCTTAGGGGTCTTCTAGTCCAGCCCCCTGCTCAAGCAGGAGAACCTCTACCATTCCAGACAATTGGCTGTCCAGTCTCTTCTTGAAAATCTCCAGTGATGGAGGAGGGAGGGAGGAAGAAAAGGAAGGAGGGAGGGAGGGAAGGAAGGAAGGAATAGCAGAATAACAGTTGGAAGGGACCTTGGAGGTCTTCTAGTCCAACCCCCTGCTCAAGCAGTAGAGCCTCTACCATTCCAGACAATTGGCTGTCCAGTCTCTTCTTGAAAACCTCCAGTGATGGGGGAGGGAGGAAGAAAAGGAAGGAAGGAAGGAAGGGCAGAATAACAGTTGGAAGGGACCTTGGAGGTCCTCTAGTCCAACTCCCTGCTTGAGCAGGAGATCCCATATCACTTCAGATAAGTGGCTGTCCAATCTCTTCTTAAAAACCTCCAGTGATGGAGCGCCCACAAGCTCTGGTGGCAAGCCATTCCACTGGTTTATTGTCCTCACTGTTAGGAAGTTTCTCCTTAATTTCAAGTTGCTTCTCTCCTTGATTAATTTCCATCCATTGTTTCTTGTCCTGCCTTCTGGTGATTTGGAATATAAAGTGCAACTGTTATAAATAGGAACCGGTTGCCAAGCATCCAAATTTTGATCATGTGGCCACAGGGATGCAGCAACGGTCGTAAGTGTGAAAACCGCTCAGGGGTCACTTTTTTTCAGTCCCATTGTAACTTTGAACACTCACTAAACAAGCTGTCGTAACTCACGGACTACCTGCAGCACACTGCCGATGTAAACGCATTGCCGATACGAAAATTGATTCACTTCATGCAGATGCTGGATTTTCTAGAAGGGGTTTAGGATTAGAACCCAGGAGTTTAAATTACAAGGAAGTAGATTCAGGACTGATATAACTAATCAAGGAGAGAAGCAACCTAGAACTAAGGAGAAACTTCCTGACAGTTAGAACAATTAACCAGTGGAACAACCTGCCTCCAGAAGTTGTGAATGCTCCAACACTGGAAGTTTTTAAGAAGAGACTGGACAACTATTTGAGTGTAAAGCAGAGGTCCCCAACCCCCGGTCCGTGGACCGGTACCGGGCCACGGCATGCCAGCAACCGGTCCGCACAAACAAGCAAAGCCCCATCCGTGGGATGCAGGCAGCACACACAACCACACACTCTCCGGTCTGCGGAAAAACCTCTCTCCACGTTACCCATCCCTGGTGCCCAAAAGGTTGGAGACCTCTGGTGTAAGGTTTCCTGCTTTAGACTAGAAGACCTCAAAGTTCCCTTCCAGCTCCGTTACTCTGTTTTAACTTTATAACTGCAAAAGCTATTAGCCAGTGGAGCAGGCGATGGCATGAAGTAGTGAGTTTTGTTTCAATAAACATTTTGGAAGTTGCACATCTCGCGTCGCACAACCCAGACCCAGAATCGTTATAAGCACTAGCTCTTTAATGAAGCATTAAATCTAGGAGGCCATACCTACCGACTTAACCCAGATCAAGGCAATGAAGAGTGAAATGCCAACGCGTAGCACACCAGAACGGTCTTCTCCAGTGACCAAATAAAGGCTGAAGGCAAATCCTTCATTCCTTGCTTCCCCGGTCAGAGATTCGTGGAGTCGAAAGGGACCTTAGAGAAAATGTTGCCAAACAAGTATTATTTTTTTTGGAAAGCAAACAGGAATCTCACATCACTAGTCAAAAGAGAGCCGATCATACAATGTCAGGCATAAATAACCAGGAGCACTTGTTGAGTTCGAAGCTCAGAACAATTTCATCATTGCTGGTTTCTCAGAAGCGGCAGTTTTCCAGCTGCCTGGACATCTGGACCCCAAATTTCCCAGCAGTGGCTAGCCCAGCCAAGAATTTGGGGAGCCGAAGCTCACACATCTGGAAGTTGCGGGAATCCAGCCGTTAAACATCTCTTCCCTTCCTTTGGGCTCTTGTCGGCCTGTGCAGACATGAAAGAGAGGAAGAACTGGTAGTTGTCGACTTAAAAGCAGTTCATTTAGTGACTTGTGACCGTTTTTCACACTTAATGGCCATTGCAGCGGGCCCCCATGGTCACGTGACCCAAATTTGGGTGCTTGCCAACTGGTTCCTGTTTGTAACAGTTGCAGTGTCTCCGGATCCTGCGGATCCCTTTTGCAACCTTTCTGACAGGCAGAGTCAATGACGAAGCCAGATTCCACCGTCTTCCTAATTTTAACAACTGCAGTGGCGCAAGGCAGGTCGTAAAATGGGGCAAAATTGACTTAGGCAAATGTCTCACCTAGCAGCAGAAATTAAGGGCTCCGTTATGGTTGTACGTCACAAGATTACCTGTACGAAATGTTCAGCGTAAATCAGCAACGCTGGCTCGTTTTCTACAAAGGTAGAGGCATCGCACACGGAATATATTTGCTAGTAAATAACCGAGCCATTCGTGGTCCTTGACATTTGCCATATTAGACACGAAATAAATGAGGCAGAGGAGGAAAGAGACTGTTATTCTCCTTTCCATTTTTCCTTTCCCTGAAAGAACGGCGCCGGGCGATAATTAAATCTGCATTTATGTGTGTCTAATTCAATAAAACGCAGCAGCGTAATTTGATAGAGAAGTCTCATGAAGCGACCACAGTGATGGGGTTGACTTTGAGCTGCTGTTAAAAAAAACCCTCCACAAAGTGCAAACATATCATTATTAATAAAAAAAAAAGTGAAGCCATTTGCAAATAAAATTACCCATTTTTCAAATATATATATATATATATTCTACAGGAAGCCTTCGAAGGCAGAGAGAGAGAGAATCAGGTTCCAGAGACGGATAATTACTGTTCAGTATTTTATTCCATGTCTGCAGGTAAAAAAGGGAGACATGGCAGACTGAATTTCAGGAGAAATAATATCTCCGTCTTTCGTATTCGGAAAATAGGCAGTATTTTAAAATACTGTTTACAGATCTTGATAAAGTCCCTTTTTTAATATCCGCCCACAGATGTACATCAGCACTAAAGCAAATCCATTTCGTTTGTAAAATATCAGTGAAATGCGAGGCTCGCTGGGAAATCAGACACAACAGAGATCACTATTTTTTTTTAAACGGTTCTGTTTAAACCCAGATCATCACTCCAGGAAGTGTGAATGGATGCCCTAAATTATACAGAATATTCTTATTAATAAATGCTGCACATACCAAGGCCACTCAGAGTTGCCTCCAACCATGGGATAGGCAGTCTATAAATTTAAGAATAACAATATGTGACTTCCAGAGAGGTTCAGATCCACCATGCAAGTTGTTGTTGTTGTTAGTTGCGAAGTCGTGTCTGACCCATCACGGCCCCATGGACAACGTTCCTCCAGGCCTTCCTGTCCTCTACCATCTTCTGGAGTCCATTGAAGCTCACGCCTACTGCTTCAACGACTCCATCCAGCCACCTCATTCTCTGTCGTCCCCTTCTTCTCTTGCCCTCCATCTTTCCCAGCATCGGGCCCTTCTCCAGGGAGTCCTTCCTTCTCATTAGGTGGCCAAAGTACTTGAGTTTCAACTTTCTTCAGGCACTCTGTCTACCATGCAAGTAATCCCACATTATGAGAAATCACCTGACTCTGAGGGTTAAGTCAATCTATAGCAATAGCCCTTAGACTTATATACCACTTCACAGTGCTTTGCAGCCCTCTCTAAGCCGTTTATAGAGTCAGCACATTGCCCCCCAACAATCCAGGTCCACATTTTACTGACCTTGGAAGGATGGAAGGCTGAGTCAACCCTGAGCTGGTCAGGATTGAACTGCTGGCAGTCGGCAGAGTTAGCCTGCAATACTGCATTCTAATCACTGCACACTATGGAAGGAAGGAAGGAAGGAAGGAAGGAAGGAAGGAAGGTAGATCACTAGCACTTTGGCTTATATACCCCTTCACAGTGCTCTACAGTCCCCTCTAAGCAGTTTACAGAGTCAGCATATTTGCCCCCAACAATCTGGGTCTGCATTTTACTGACCTCGGAGGGATGGAAGGCTGCATCAACCTTGAGCCGGTGAGAATCGAACTGCTGGCAGTTGGCAGAGTTAGCCTGCAATACTGCATTCTAACCACTGCGCCACCACGGCTCTGGAACTGTCTACTACTAGAGTCAAAATATTTTATGCAAGCAAGCACATGGAAGCGGTTAAACAATTGCACTGACGAACTGTACACGGAGCCTTCATTTATTTAAGCCACAGCTCTTTTACATGTGTGGGTGTATTCAGAGGGGTTTATTTTACCAGGGCAGGGCAGTGATTATGAATTGCAGCCACCCTTTTAATTAATTGTGACTTATAACTCCAGCCAAGTCATGATTCAGAGGCGGGCCATGTCAAGGGGCAGGCATCTGAAAGGTTAAGTTCTGCTCTTGAAAGCATGGAAACAAAAGGTGAAGAGATGCATGGTTTTTTCTCTCTCTCTCTCACGAGAGCTGTCTTTGTTTGGTCCTTAGCAGTTTTTCCCTGCCTGTTTTTCTCCATTTTGCTCAAAAACCTGCAGCACCAACAGTGTCGCATTGAACTTATCAGGACCATGCATTCACTCCTCCACAAGGCACTCTGAGTGATTCACTGTCTGTCTGCACTTAAAACTTGGGAGAGCACCACTGCCTGATAAAAATCAATGGGGTTTTTTTTTTTTATCAGCAAAACCAGCTAGGAGAAGCATTCATAACATGACGTGGCTTAAATGCACCTCCTCCAAGCTTGCAATTGTCACACGCCCAAACACACACGGGCTATTTTAATTAGCACAGCGAGCGACAATGAAAGCTGTTGAGCGTACACAACTAACTGTACTTGCATGCTTAACCTCCCTTCTGTCTCCCTCACTCGGTTCTAGCACTGCGTTGGAAAAAGCCTGCGTAAGCAGAAAACATTTCCATGGTAATTGTACCCTACGTGGAAGGAGGCAGGGAGCGGCACCAACTAAGAAATAATTAAAATAAGACATAATTAGTAAGAGAAGATGCACGTGACCGCCATCAGCAGAATGTTTAACTTAGTTTAGGAGCTAGTTCTCAGAACCATTGTTTCCCACCTCTCCAATTTATGCCCCAATTAATCTTCCCCGGTTATTGTACAATGCTTAAATTTCCTCTAACCTGGAGTCTCTGCTTGGCATTGCCTTCTGCTTTGTTCACCCAGCATTAGGGCAGAGTTCAGTTCTTTGAATCGTTGCAATATAAAAGATAATTAAGCTCAGTCTGTCGCTTAATAGGAGATGGTGAGAACAAGCTCTACATGAGAGCCAGAGAAAGATAGACAGTAGATTAGAAAATGCCATGTTGCATATCTCTGTGCCCAGCCTAAAATCTTAGTCCCGTTGCCTTTCGCTGCCTTAGTTCTTAGTAACCAGGATCTAATGGTTACTGCCACATTTTAGCTTGCTCTTGCCCTGAGATGGGCTCTGTTTTTTGAAGTCTTCTCCAGGCCTTGTTTGAGTTCTTTCTGTAGTTCTATTACTAGCTCCATCTCAAGAAGCCTTTCGGAATGTCTCCCAGGTCACGCCTAACATCTTGATGTCTCCTAGAGATAGCTCAGGGTGAACTGTGGGTCTGTCAGCTTGGTGGTTTTCCTGTGGTTGTTTCGTGACCTAACTAGGTAACATCATCAGTGATAGAAGGGAGTGGGGTTTGCAGGGAAGTGGAGGAGAAGGAGGAGGCCTGTCGGGTCTTTGATGCTCTCTGAGCTTGGTGGTTTCCTGGCAGACGTTTCATTACCCAACTAGATAACATCATGGGTGCTAGGAGGGAGTGGGATTTGTTCTCTGCTTAGTCCCACTCCCACTCTTTCATGTTCTCAGAATTTAGGGCAGCTTTGCTATTTCGTCTTCGCCTTTGTTCTTTATGATGTCTTTTGTTAGCTAATGAAAAGTCATCCGCCGTTTGATGTTATTTTTTTTGTTAGAGCAGTCACAGCACTTTCTATTCTTTTTTTTTTAAAAAAAAAGAAACTTTTTGTTCTGCCTTACACCTTTTTTTAGGTGTTCTTCCAAAACAATCTTTAAAAGGCCGTGTAAATTTTGGGCTGGTGGTGGTGGGTTTTTTTGTTTTTTTAAAGACGCCTGATTTTTAGACAAACTGCATCTTGGCGTAAGAAACGGTTGGTCTCCCAACTGTCTTCAGTTAAATGACAGTCTTCTCTTTTTCTCCTCCTCCACCACCACCACCACCACCAGCAAAGCAGAAATTAGAAGACCGGTTGGCAGCTGCAGCAAGAGAGAAATTAGCCCAGGCTTCCAAAGAATCGAAAGAGAAGCAGCTTCAAGCGGAACGAAAAAGGAAAGCCGCCCTCTTTTTGCAGAATCTGAAGAATCCCCTGACAGACATGGAAGTGGAAAAAATGGAGGAAAGTGCCTTTAACATAGAGGTGAGCACATAGTTTATCCTACAGTGGGAGTTTGTAATGGCACGTGGGAAAGGCCTTGAGGGAGGGGACAAAGAGATGCTGCCAAGGGAAGGGTCAGATAAGAGACTGCATAGCCCACAGCTGCATAATGGGTGGAGAAAGAGATTCAGAAGAGACCCTCCCTAGTCTCTTGGGCAGTAAAGGAGATGGCTGTAATAGTATGTGAGAAGGGAAATGGGGAGATGAGATGCTGCTTAGGGAACAGTCAGATAAGAGGCAGCATAGCCCAGGGCTGCATAAAGGGCGAAGAAAGACACTCAGAAGAGACCCTTCCTAATTTCTTAGGCTGTAAAGGAGAGGACTGTAATAGTATGTGAGAAAGAGCTTTGGAAATGGGGAAAAGAGATGCTGCCTATGGAATAGTCAGATAAGAGACAGCCTAGCCCGCAGCTGAACAACGGGTGGAGAAAGACGCTCAGAAGGGACCCTCCCTAGTTTCTCAGGCTATATAGGAGGGGGCTGTAATAGTATATGAGAAAGACCTTGTGAGAAGGAGGGAAGAAGTGCTGCCTATAGAATAATCTGATAAGGGACAGCCTAGCCCAGAGCTGCATAATGGGTGGGGCACGAGACCTGGGAGGGGCTCGCTCTAGTGTCTCATCCTGCAAAGGAGACAGCTGTAATGGCATGTGAGAAAGACCTTGGGAGATGCTGCCTAGGGAACAGTCAGATAAGAGACAGCATAGCCCAGAGCTGCATAATGGGTGGAGAAAGAGGTACAGAAGAGACCCTCCCTAGTCTCTAGGGCAATAAAGGAGGGGGCTGTAATGGTATGTGAGAAAGACCTCGGGAAATGGGGAGACGAGATGCTGCCTAGGGAACAGTCAGATAAGAGACAGCATAGCCCAGAGCTGCATAATGGGTGGAGAAAGAGGTACAGAAGAGACCCTCCCTAGTCTCTAGGGCAATAAAGGAGGGGGCTGTAATGGTATGTGAGAAAGACCTCGGGAAATGGGGAGACGAGATGCTGCTTAGGGAACAGTCAGATAAGAGACAGCATAGTCCAGAGCTGCATAATGGGTGGAGAAAGACACTCAGAAGGGACCCTCCATAGTTTCTCAGGCTGTAAAGGAGACAGTGGTAAATTTGTACTTTCAGACTTGCAAAATTCTTTTAACCGTAGCTTTACAATAAAGCAGAATTACTTCCTCTGGTCTGCCTAGTAAGGCTGGCAAAATTGCCAAGCCGCCGTTTTGAGGGCGGGCAAGGGGAGAGCTACCAGTACTGCTGAAAACATTAGTGTTTACTGAGATTGAATAAGGAGTATTCTTTAAAGAAAGGAAGAAGAAAAATGGTCTAAAATGAACCCCGCGTTGGTCTTCGGGGATATAAGAAATTGTGATAAATCGACTTGGCCCACTCTTCCTGATATCTCCAAAGTCAAGCAAATCATCCCCATTTAAAGGGCAGGGAGGTTTGTGTGTGTGTGTGTGTGTGTATTTGCTAAACCATGGGGGAAAATGCTAAGATTTGTGTTTCTAATAAAAGCATGCATGATTTCCATTTCCCAAACACGTCCGTGAACCGGAGCATAATTATCCCTCCAGATAACAACATATTTTTTCAAGGAGCAGCATTGTGTTGGGGGAAGCACACACCAAGACGTGTCGAAACACTGGAGAAACCACTTGCAGTAATGGAGCCTATTAGGATAAATCCATATGCATATACACAAATGTGTTTATGCCAGGTGAAATGAAGAAATTTTTTTCCCCTCCTCCAGGGATTATTAAGATTTACTTAAGAGTTGGTGCAGTTGTGCTAACTGAAAACAGTTGCAAACTTGAAACTTTGGCTAAGTTCTCCACATCTTCTTTGGTCCTGGAGGTTTTTTAATAATAATAATAATGATAATGATAAAGTTGGAAGGGACCTTGGAGGTCATCTAGTCCAACCCCCTGCTCAGGCAGGAAACCCTATACCATTTCAGACAAATGGCTGTCCAGTCTCTTCTTTAAAACTTCCAGTGTTGGAGCATTCACCGCTTCTGGAGGCAGGTCGTTCCACTGGTTAATTGTTCCCACTGTCAGGAAGTTTCTCCTCAGTTCTAGGTTGTTTCTCTCTTTGGTCAGTTTCCATCCGTTGCTTCTCGTCCTGCCTTCAGGTGCTTTGGAGAATAGCTTGACTCCCTCTTCTCTGGGGCAGCCCTTGAGATATTGGAACGCTGCTATCATGTCCCCCCTCGTCCTTCTCTTCGTTAGACTAGACATCCCCAATTCCAGCAGCCGTTCCTTATATGTTTTACCTCCAGTCCCCTGATCATCTGTTGCTCTTCTCTGCACTCTTTCTAGAGTCTCAACATCTCTTTTACATCATGGTGACCAAAACTGGATGCCGTATTCCAAGTGTGGCCTTACCAAGGCATTGTAAAGTGATATTAACACTTCACATGATCCTGATTCTATCCCTCTGTTAATGCAGCCTAGCACTGTGTTGGCTTTTTTGGCAGCTGCAGCACACGGCTGGCTCATATTTAAGTGATTGTCCACTAGGACTCCGAGGTCCCTCTCACAGTTGCTACTATTGAGCAAGTTGTCCCCTATACTATACCTGTACATTTGGTTTTTCTTGCCTAAATGTAGAACCTTGCTTTTTTTCACCATTGAATTTCATTTTGTTAGATAGCGCCCAGTGTTCAAGTCTGTCCAGATCCTCCTGTAAGCTTTGGAATGTTCTTTTTCAGTCGAGGTCAGGCATTTAAGACAAAACTGGAAGCTAAAAGCAGAAGCCGGAGAGCGAACGGTGGGAGCCGATACTATTTTTGAACAAGTGTGAGGTTGTTTCTAGCCCTCAGCATGTACGGTGAAAACGGGAGTCAAGACACTCGCTTTGCTAACTGCATCGCCCTGAATTTCGGTCGAGGTGGTGCATTAGAACTGATAGGAGCTTTTGTTTTATTAATTACTGCTTTTCTTCATTTTGCTTGTTTAGAAAGGGGGGGGGATCTGGGGTCTGGAGCCAAAAAAAACCCCCAACAGCCTAAAAAGCTCTGAGGGATGTAGTGTTGCCAGGAGCAACCTAAGATCTACAATTCTGAAAATGATTGTCCCCGGAAACTTGGGGACTTGCTAGTGCTAAGGTGGGGCCTCAAAACCAGGGCAGAGAGAAACCAAATTAAATTCCTAAGGAACAAAAGTGTATTGTGCGCGATCTTTGGCACCCGAGATCTGGCAGCAGCTGTCCAAGTGTTCTCAGGGGAAAAAAATAGTCTGTATTGAGAAAATAAGATATATATTTTTCTCTCTCCCTAGTCCAAGGGATGATCAGTCATAGCCGAAACCCCCCCAAGAAGCAGGTGGGCACGTTGGCTCTTCCGATCTATTTATTTAGTCATCTCTGCCTGCGGTTGGGAGGATGACAGAGACGTTGGCATTTTGCAGAGTGCCCACTCCTCCGTGCCTAAAACGGGGAAGCGTCGGAAATATGTGGGAGAGACCCTCCTAGGCACAGATTCTCCTTGTCTAAGCTGGCAAGTTGTTGGTTTCCAAGCTACAGTAACCAAGTGGAGCAATAGTCACTTCTCTCCTTTATCTTAGATCAGTGTTTCTCAACCTTGGCAACTGTTGTTGTTGTTTTTTTATTGAAAATTTTATAAAATTTTACAATATAAATCCCCCTCCGCAAACCCAACCCTCCATCCCTCCCCCCCCTCCCTTCCCAGAGCCAATCCCAGGATTAACAATAAAATAATCATAATCTAACTAACATTAATCAACTATTAATCTAACAAATCTACAACTTCCTTTAACTCTCTTTTAAAACAAATATACAATTATATACCATAATAATAACATAATTTTAAATATTAAAAATAAAACTAAATAACATTATAACTTTTAAACAAAAATAATACTCAAAAATTCATTCAAAAACCAGATGATTTTTTTTTTGTTCCATATTTAAACTCAATATAATCAATCCATCTTCTCCAGAACAATATATATATATCTTTCTTGTGAGTAATCCTTCACATAAGCGGAAATCTTGGCCATTTCTGCTAAATTTGAGACTTTAAATACCCAATCTTCTATCGTAGGTAAACATTTCGTTTTCCAAAATTGAGCAATTAATAATCTTGCAGCAGTTATAAGATTCAACATCAACTCCATTTCTTTTGCATCCAAATCTTCCAAAATACCCAAACCTTGGCAACTGTTAAGATGGGTGGACTTCAACTCCCAGGATTCCTCGGCCAGCAATCTGAAGATGAAGTTGAGTTGAAGTCCACCCACCGTACGTCTGAACCGAGTCCGTACAAGTACCGATTCATGCTGCGAAGTGAGAAATTGGTTAAGTCAGCTTTGCCCCATTTTTACGACCTTTCTTGCCACAGTTGTTAAGTGAATCGCTGCAGTTGTTAAACGAGTAAGGCGGGTTGTTCAGTGGATCTGGCTTCCCCACCGACTTTCTGCGCTTGTCAGAAAGTCACAAAAGGTAATCACACGGCCTTGGAACACAGCCACGGTCATAAATGTGAACCATTTGCCCAGCGTCGGAATTTTGGTCACGTGACCGTGGGGATGCTGCAATGGTCATAAGTGTGAAAAACAATAATAATAATAATAACAACAACTACTATGATGATGATGAAGTTGAAAGGGACCTTGGAGGTCATCTAGTCCAACCCCCTGCTCAGGCAGGAAACCCTATACCATTTCAGACAAATGGCTGTCCAGTCTCTTCTTAAAGACTTCCAGTGTTGGAGCACCCACAACTTCTGGAGGCAAGCTGTTCCACTGGTTAATTGTTCTAACAGTCAGGAAGTTTCTCCTTAGTTCTGGGTTGCTTCTCTCCTTGATTAGTTTCCATCCTTCCTTCCTTCTTTCCTTCCTTCCTTCCTCCCTCCCTCCCTCTCTCCCTCCCTCCTTAGTTCCAGGTTGCTTCTCTCCTTGATTAGTTTCCATCCTTCCTTCTTTCTTTCTTTCTTTCTTTCTTTCTTTCTTTCTTTCTTTCTTTCTTTCTTTCTTTCTTTC